TGAGTGGAGTAGAACAGAGCAGTCAGGAGAGATCATGATCCCTGTAGGAAACTGGGCATCTCTGTGGTCCCTGAGCATCCCAGGAGGCGGATTGTACAGAGACCTCTGGTCGCTGACCTCAGTCTCCCTCCACATCCCTGGAATAGCCCATCATGGGCCCTTTGCCCTTGGCAGGTGGACACCATTCAACCTGCTGGGGCAGGTGTATCCCCATTTCATGGCATTTAGGGACGACGAGACTCTCTGTCCAGGTCCCACTGTCCTTAAGTCCTTGGGATGATGCCCACCCCTGCTTGGGGCTTGACACTCCAGAGACTCGTGCAGTTGTGAGACAATGTGTCTGGCCCCTTTTTACCTGGGGACGGTGGTGGAATGGGGGTTACGCAGCCAGCCAGCATCTGGGAGCCCGATGGGAGCGGTTCAGGTTTTCTCTGAGGCTCTCGGGTACAATGTAATTTTAGATGATTTTTGGTTCACAGGATGGAAATCGCAGAGGATGCAGATAGTTTGTGGTCCCAGGAGCGAGAGAATATCATTATGAAGTATGAGAAGGTACAGGTCGGTCTGCTCCTTGGAGGGAGGCCTCTTCCAGTGCACCCTGGTCAAAGGGTCCTGGGCTCCCTAGGAGCACAGGGTGGGCACGGGTGGCCACTACCCTCAGGCCCTTGCACCCTTTACCTTCGACCCCTCAGCAAGGCTCCCTCTGGGTTACAGGGACACCGAGTTGAGCTGCCCGAGGACATGGGGCCTGAGCCTGTTGGAATCGACAGCAGCATTGATCGCTTCGGGATTGTGCAGTGAGTCCTGTGTGCTCCCCTCACCCCTGAAGCACCTGTCTCAGCTCAGGGATGGGTTTGCTTTCACAAAGGCCTTTCTGAGGCAGGACTGTCTCGCCGGGTCAGGCCAACCTCCTTTCCAGGGTCAGAACTCCTCCCTGGCTCCCCTGCAGGTCCAGCCCGAGGTTGCTGTTAGGCCAGAGGTGCGGGGCCCATCTAGGGAGCGGGTGGGAATGGAGACTGGGCTAGGTCAGGCCCCTGGACTCTCAGCAGTTCTGTCCCCAAGTCAGCACAAGAGGAGCGGGGCAGCCTGAGGGTCTTGCCCTCTCTACTTGGAGACAACCCCAGTGAGATCCATGTGTTGTGGCCACAGGGTGAGGGGCCGCCTGGGCCAGCCTCAGGGCTATTGTCCAGCGGGTCTCTGAGGGCCCACCGGCCCCTGTCCTCCCTCATTTCCCTAGAGCTACAGCCCTCACTGCCCCCATCGGGAAGATGGAAAGGCATGGAGACAGTGGGGGCTGTGGCCCTAGAGGAACAGGGGAGAAGACGGGCAGGGCCCCGTTCTGGGCATCTCATATTAAGGTCAGGGAGGTGGCAGGGCTTGTGGCTAAAGACCCTGGGTCTGGTGCTGGGAAGGGATCTGGGGCCAGGTAAGAGGAGCCCAGCCAGGAGACCATCCCTTAGGGATCATAGGATGGTGAGACAGAGGATCCCGGGGGAGGTAGGGTGGGAGGGAGCTGATGAGCGGTGCCACTTCTGAAACGCAGGGTGTGTGGGTCAGGTGCGGGGAGAGGCAGGTGGATGCTGGGAGGTCAGAACTTGCAAGGGCCTTGGGGCTGTCAAGTGGGATGGGGCCCTGGTATACCAGGAGTACACCGGGCAGGTCTCAGGGCAGGCTCCCTTGACCCCGGTGGGGTGATGTGGTCACTCCCTGAGGGACTCCTGTCAGGGCCTGGTCGCCCACCCTGGGCGGCCCCCATCCCATCTCAGGCCTGACCTTTCTCAGTTCCAGCAGAAAGCACCACCTCGAGTCCAGGACAAGCAGCCCCATTGTGCAGCCTGACCGCCCCCCACGCCAGGGGCCCCAGTAACCCCACCCAGGCTGGCCCCACACTCCTTCTTCTCCCAGCTCCTGCCCCTCCTGGGAGTCAGCCCCGCAGGAAGGCCCTTGTCCTCCCTTCCCTGTGTCTTCTCCTGGGCTGAGCCCTGAGCTAGATAGGGACAGAGCCTGTCCTTTCTGGGGGTTGGGTTCCAGTCTAGGGCAGCTCCAGGCCCTGTGCAGGTCCTCAGTTCTGCCTGGGTTTTCTTACAGTGAGACAGAGCTGCCTCCTGCCACTGCTCGGGAGGAGAAGGTAAGAGCCTGGTGCGTGGGGGGGCTGGTCCAGGGGTGTGGGGACTGGGCGGGTGGTTGGTGAGGCAGGGGAGGCCGCTGGCCAGGGCAGTGGCGGG